CTCCGACTTGGCTGAAGGGCACCAAGCTGGCGAAGGTTGCCTTAGAACGGGGCGGTCAGATTCCACGAGTCGGGCGCTGGTTCCCACCCTCATTACTCAGCACGGGTGGCACCCTGTCTTGTTCCCAAAGCGCCCCTGTTCTGCCAAGCTCCCCACCAAAACTGGTTTGGGAGGGCTGCAGGTGCACAGCTCTGCCTTCCACCCCCACTCCCCGCCATATATATGTATATGTCCCTGTTGCAAAACAATGGACCCGTTAATTCAGTAATAACCAGAATAGTGGAGTGAATAATGACACACACCCCGTTTTCTCACTGCAGAATTTTTGGGGCCCTATCCACAGTGTTAATTATGTTGGTTAGTTTTCCTATTACTTAGAAAACAATATCCATTTTCTAATAATGTTGATTATTTTGGGTATTTTTTCTACAAGTTTTGGGCACTCTCAAATTGTTCAGCTTGGATTTTCTCTTGAACACTTTATCATAAAGCATTGGCATTGTATAATGGGGGGGGGGGTGTTCCTGCTGAAAGGTCAGGGAGGGCTGGAAGCCCGGCCTTGACCAGAACTGTGTCTCCAAACGAATGCAGCTTTGCTGCGGCACACAGCAAGGAATCGAGATCAATCCGGGGAAGCTGGAGATGTGCTCCCATGTGTGCTACTGTGTTGGGAGATGTCATTGTGCAATGCAGTGATCTCAGAGAGGCCAGTGGGTTGGTGCTTGCTTCACAATTGAAGCCACAAGTTCTGGCTCTGCTGATCCAGTTGGGTCTTTGATTTTTCTCGGCTTGAAAAGAACAAACGCCCGGCACATGAAAATGGTGCGGCAGGAAGGGGCAGATGGAGCATTGCTCGTGGAGGAGCACGTTTGGGCTGTGAAAGGTGCATGAGAGGTTGTGCCACTGGGGCACAGTGAAGGCGCTGTCATTGGCTGCCAACTCAGAGGTCACAGAAAGCAGTCTCCAAGAAAGAAAAACAAGGGAAATTGGGATGGTGGGGAGAGGCTGCCAGCAGAAAAACATTTGCAGTCAGCAGTGAGAAAGGGAGACAAGATGGTTCCCTCTAACTCATGTAGAAGGGAAGACGGTGACTTGTCTGTCAACCACTTCGTGGGTTGTTTCATGAACTACCCAGCTAGGTAGCTTATTCACACATTGAGCTGTCTTGCCATGTGACCTTGCCCAATGCCATGGCATTCCTCAAATGGAGGAATTGTCTGCCCTTTGGAGCTCTGGACTTTCCCTTCAGTTCCAGCCAATGGTCAGGAGTCCCAGTAGCTGTCATCTAGAACTTCTGGAGGGCATCAGACTGAGGAAGGCTGAGCTGGGGGCTGGGAGTGGGAGCAGCGAGGGAGAGTGTGCGGTTGCCTGGTCCTCGTCGATTGTGCTGACAGCTCTGTGGTGAGCTACAAGGGCAGACAAGTTGACATTGCAATCTGTGTAGCCACAGGCATTTCCAGGAGAACATTGCTAAATTCCTCAGAATTGTCTGAAAAGCTCAGCATGAGCTGAATGGTAAAGAGTCCTGTACTGAGTTCGTTTATGTCCCCAGCATGAGATAGAGAGAGAGAGGAGCTTTGACTGAACTGACTAATAATTTTTTCAGAGGTGAAGGGACTTCAAGTCCGAGACCAAATCTGCCCTCACCTCCTTTTTCCCAGCCGGGAAAGGTTTGTGGGCCTCCTGCCTTGAGTGCAATTTCCCCCCTGCATTCTGAAATGCTTAGTTTAAGCTATGATCTCCCTGGGGCTGGGGAAGAGAGTGTATCTGACTCACCCCTCTTCCCACCACTGGAATGCATCTCCTAAGAGCTTCCTTGAAACTGATGAAAGCAGTTCTCCATTCCTGTCCTAGAAAGGTAACTGAATGTCTATAACAGGGACGGGAATGTGTGAGCCATTTGGGAAGGGTTACCTGAGAATCCTCAGGCTGGCTGGTTCCCACTGGGAGCTGCAGAGCTTTTTCCTGTCCAAACATGTGTAAGATAGTAGCCTGCTGATATTTTGATACTGAGAAAACACAGAACATGATGCACCTGCCACCTGGTAGATCATTGTAAAGAAAGCAGAACATTAATCCCCCTCTGTTTATTCAACTAGTGCATACATTTTAAATGCTTCCAGAGAAAGAGCCCTTTGAGATTCCCTGTGCTGACTGGGGACCTTGGCAGTTGTAGTCCAGCACATCCAAAGGGCACCAGTTTAGGGCAAGCTGGGCTAGAGAAACAGAAGAGAGGTCCTCCAAGAAATCATGCTCTCAAAGGAGCATTTTATCTTTGGGGTTAGCAGCTCTCCACGCCCTTGACCCATAGAGGTTAGCCCAAAAGCTGCCTGTAATGCAACTGTGTTGAAATGAGCCATCACCTTCATCGATTAGTGGGGCTGCAGGAGCGGGGGAAGGAGTGGCAAAGCAGCAGCCTAGTGGAGGGACATTGGTTTCCATGCATAAATGTCCCCAGGGCTCCGGGAGGGGAAGACAGAGATGCATGTGCCTGTCCCTTTGCAGCAGCTGTGGTTGGGCACTAGGGAGGGGCCAGGCTTCCAGAGTCCTCTAGTCTGTGGGGTTTTTAATTGCTCCAGGGTTTTGGGGAGCCCTTGGGCAAGACGTCTTCAGTGGGTCCCCCTCCCTTCATGCGCCTACCCTCTTGTTGCCATTGTCTCTGGTGCTCTTGCTTTCCATTCTCTTTCTTGTCATGGCTACCGCTGGCTGGCTGGCTGGCTGGCTGGCTGGCTGGCTGGCTGGCTTGGCAGGCAGGGAGCCAGCGTGCTGGTAAGCAGGGACAGCTCCTGCTCCTACTTCTCACCACAGGGACAGATTGCCTGGGCCAAAGAGAAGCAGGTGGACAAGCCAATGGTAAGAATGACCAGCAGCAGCCATGGAGGAGTCGTGCCTCGTGGGGTTCTACTGGGGTGTGGACCTCGGCTGGTGCCCAGCGATGGCCACCCTTGCCACTGGCCCTGGGCACCTTCACAGGCCCCACATTCTACCCATTACCAGTTCAGCTCCAGTGTGTGGTGGGGGCTTTGCTGAGCTGTGGGGGCACCAGAATCTGCGAGGAGAATGTCCTTAGACTGATGCTTCTAGAGGCACGTGGCCCATGCTATCAATCAACAACTGGAGCAGAAATGGTTCCTGTGTACACAGGGACACATCCTTCTATCCCTGCCCTGGGAATAGAAGTGTTTGTGCAGTTGAATGCATGATGTTTAAGAAGGAGCTAGAGTCTTTCTCAGACAAATTGATAAGGGGAAATGAAAGCATCAGAGGAATAGAAAATAAAACATAGAAACAGAGTGAGTCAGAAGGGGCCTCCCGGGCCATCTAGTCTGACCCCCGGCTCCAGCCGGCTCTGCTCACGACACGCCCACCATGTGGACGTCCAGCCTATCCTTGAACACCCGCACCGATGGGGCCTCAACCACCTCCCATGGAAGCCCATTCCATGCCCATAAAAGAATACTCACTGGCCTTCCCTTTGCCAGCTGGGATGTGGGAGCCAAGTCATGGTTGTAGTTGGTATGGGGCAGGACCAGTCAGCATTCTCTTCTCACAGAGACCCCCATATTGCTCAAACTAGCTGCTGACCTCAGATGACCTGTAAAAATTAGACAGATTACTGCCATTCTTGACAAGCACCACACATGGAGGCTGGATCTCTGGAGATGAGCCCTTTGCAGTGGCGGCCACTAGCCGTGCTGGCCGGAGAATGCTGGGAATCTGGGGACTTGTTCTGTCTGAACATGCATAGGACTGAACCCTTAATTGTTATTAGCATTGGGGTTTAAATTATTGTGGTCTTTCCTTGAGGTGGAAATACACACACACACACACACACACACACACACACTTGAAAAATGGGATAGCAGTATAATTTTAAAAAACAGCAGTCAGTTTAAGGGGTTGTACATGGGGTTTCAACTGTTCCAGCAGGAACCTGGGAATGGGATATCTATTATTAGTATTAGTACTACTAGTAGTATAAATTAATAATAATGGATTTATTTTAGAAACATAGAAACAGAGTGAGTCAGAAGGGGTCTCCCGGGCCATCTAGTCTGACCTCTGGCACTAGCTGGCTCCGCTCACGACATGCCCACCATGTGCATGTCCAGCCTATCACTGAACACCCGCATTGATGGGGCCTCAATGACCTCTTGTTTATTTTTGCTTTTATGCGGCATTCAATTGTTGTTCTGTGGTGGTGGTTATTGTTGTTGTGTGCCATCAAGTTGTCTTTGACCTATGGCACCCCTCCAAAATGTCCTGCCCATGTCAGCACCATTCAGCTTTTCCAAGATCGAGGCTGAAGCTTCCTTGATGGATTCAATTCCTCTCATTTTCGGTCTTCCCTTTTGCATTGCGTCTTCAACTTTCCCTAGCATAATTTTCTCCTCCAGTGAGTCTTGCTGTCATACACGGCACACATCATGAGAAGGCCTCAATTTGGTCAGTTTTGCTTCCAGGGCAAGTTCTGGCTTGATTGGATCCTGAACCCACTTGTTGGTCTTTCAGTGGGTCCGGGATATTCACAAAGCATCCAGCACTACGTTGCGAATGCATCGATTTTCTGCGTTTCAGCTTTCTGCGCTGTCCAGCTTTCACATCCACACACCCTATTCGGAATATGATAGCGTGGATTGTCTCGCCCTTGGTCTCCAGGGAAATATCCTTACATTTGATGATTTTTCTAGTTCCTTCACTGCTGCTTTGTCTTATAGGAACGCAGAAATATGGCACATAAGGAGGAGTGTCCGTTAGTGTTCGTGCGCATATAAATGCAAAATTCCCTTTACGTGCACGCCTCTTTTCTGTGCGTAGCTCTGACGCGCACTGACCGTTTCCCTAGCGAATCGCGCCCCTCGCAGCTGGTGGCAGAACGCGCCGGGAAGCCCCCTTAGCCCCTCCGCCCGCCTTCCCTTCGAATCCCTCCCACTGCTTCCAACGGCGCCCTTCGCTCTCTGAGGTAGCTTGAGCCCAGCGGCTCACCGTAGAGAGGTTGCCATAGCGACGCTGGCGGCGCGGCCTGGCCTTGAGACGCGGCGCGGGGAAGCCCTGGCGAGTGTGCGGGCTACCAGTCGAAGTGCCCGGGAGTCACGATGTCTTTCCGCGACCTCCGGAGTGAGTCGAGCCGTATTTGAGGGAGATTATCTAGTCTCGAGGAGCGGGGAAGGGGCCTGGACCGGCGGTAGCAGTTGCTATTCTTGCACGTATTCCAGGGGCATCATGCCCACCGAAGCTGGGCTCAGTTTATTATTCTTACTGTGCTTCACCATTCTAACTGGCCTGAAATTGTTATCATTCTGATTTAATACTAATACTAACATCAACCCGATCCAGTATTATCAGTTTGATCTTTCAAAGGAATTCGGGGAGCGCGCATCCCCCCCCAAACTATTATTTTATCCGTACAACCATCCTGTGAGGTAACTAAGCCCACGGTCAGCTCCATGAGCTTAATGGCTAAGAAGGTGTTCAAACCTGGGTCTCTGTTGTAGAGGCAGGGCAGAACCATCCTCACGGTCAGCATGGAAATGCAAGCTAGTTTTAAAAAAGAAAGGTCTTCTACTGAACAGACTGGTGGAGGGGGCTGGGCAACACGTTATCATTTGTCAGGGGCTGGTGTGCAGACCAAGCGGATGGGCAAATGAGAGCAGAGCAATTCATCCCTCTCTCACTAACCTGTACGAAATTTCCACTCATCTGTGGCAAAGGTGAACCGATTTCAGGCTAGTGAGATCTTGTTTGTTTTTAGAACCCCACAATCCACCAGCTAGTGCCTTGGGCAAAAGATAAGATGAGAAACAACAGTCTTGTGGAACCTGGAAGGTTAATACATTAATTCTGCCATGAACTTTGGTGGATACTGTCTATTTCATGAGATGTAGGAAGCAGTAACATCAAATTGGCAGATTTATATATCCAGGGTGGGGGAGGGGGTGCATGATTGCAAATTGTGTTGTCAGTGGGAACTGAAATGCAGAAAGGACAAACAGTGATAAAAACCTGAATGATTGCCATTCATTAAATGTTGGGTGATAACATTGCAGGTGATACAAGTATCTTTGTGAAGTACAACAGGTCAAATAGCAAGGTTTTGAAGAAGAAAGTGGCATTATGAACCTAACAGGTGGATAGAGAGATAGTGTTTGAATTAAAGGGGGAAACTGGGGGGAGGGCTTAATGGAAACTCAGACCCCCCCCCCAAGTGTGATCCAAATCCTGTTTCCCCTGGCCAAATTCAAAATAAAGTAAAAGTGCAGCCAGTTCTCTCGCAGTTAGTTCTCTTCAAGCACTGAATGGAATCAGTTCCAGGCATAACAATAATAGGTACTTATATTTAGCTTATCACCATTGTTTTGATGTATATCAAACATTCTGTTGTAATTCCCTTTTGTTTCAAAAGAAAACACTGTGCACAAACTGGTTCAGTTTATTCTGTTCATACACATGACCATGAACATTGCAGTGACTAATTAAGTGTTGAATTTTTCCACTTGCCAAATCATAGAATAGTAGAGCTGGAAGGGGCCAAGAAGGCCATCAGGTCCAACTTCCTGCTGTTGTAGGTCACCAATTTATACCATCCCACTCAGATAAACATCCTCTTCTGCTTAATGAACTATAGAAAGCAGCAGAATGGTGGCCAATTCTTTTTGGTTTGCTGGCATTTCATGCTCTACAGTATGGTGTACAGAATCTGTGGCACACCGAGGATCTCCTGTTATAAATTTTTTACCACTATATGCGTAGGATTTCCATAAGCTGCCCTGGAATTAATTGTGCTTGCAAGTCCTCTTCCTGGAGCTGTCCCTGCACTGGTGGTTCTCATGAAGCTATGAGAGAACCAAGGAAGGGTTGTGCCCACCAAAATGCATACACATAAGAAGGGACATCGGACCATTGTAAGGATCATGGTCCTGGTAGAGCTAGCTGTCAGCTCAAGTAAACCAGGGATGGGTTGTGCAGGGGCAAGACTGAGAATAAGAAGTAGCTGCTTAGGTAGCCAGTGTTCTCACACAAAGGGAAGTTATTTGGAGTGAGGAGCAAGCAATGGGGCAAGAGGTAAGTATTGGCCCTTGAGCACTGCTGCATTTTTACTGCAGGCTAGATGGCAGCCTTAGAGCACAAGACTTGTTCTTACCCTGGAAGCAAAGCATGAAAGGCATAATGACCCCACCATTAGAAGGCTTCATTCGAGACCCTGTCTGTTGCCTTACCAACTATATCGCTGATGTTGCTTCTGTGGCTGTTACAAATATATCTTTGTTTCCAAAGATTTTACTGAAATGATGAGGGCACTGGGCTATCCCCGGCTTATTTCGATGGAAAATTTTCGCACTCCAAACTTCATGCTGGTTTCAGAGATACTCCTTTGGCTAGTGAAAAGGTTGGTACTTGAACTCCATTTCAAAGTAAATATCAGAGCAAATGATACTGATGAAATGCTTGAAATATTAGAAAAGAACTACCTTAAATATTCTGGAAATTCTTCAAAAGTAACATGTGTCCTAACTTCTAAAATATGCTGGTTACAAGCATACAAGCAAAACTAAAGCTGCCAGTCTCAGTTTTCTTCTGTATTGTTAGAATGTTCTTGTCATTCCAACCCTAACCCTTTCCTTACACTGATTCCTAACACAGAGAAATCTTAAAAGCCTCCAAGTTTGGACGCTTGCAAGCAATAAAAAAATAATCTGTGTGATTGGACTCTAACCCCTGGCCCATTCTCAGTTTTAGCTTAAATATATTCCTAGCATTACAATTGACTTGGATTTGAAGTTAAATGTTGGCGAAGCACATGTCAGTGCACCGAAAGGGTTTGTTTCTGAAAACCCAAGTGAGATGAATGGCTAGTAAGAAAGAAGGGGATTACAATCTTTATTATTGTAATAAAGGGTAGCTGGTCCACTTGGGCTTTGTGAGGTGATATGTCATTAAAGACAGGGCAAGGTGACTGGGATTTGGGTTTTGTACCACCTAAAACTGCAAAGCATGCCCAAGTGAGTGGCTTTCTTTACACTGAGACCTTCGAGTTTACTGTGCAGAACAAGGATAGTATTGATAGGCTTTCTCAGGTCTGAATTTAAAACAGGCTTAAAGTGAACCTTTGGTCTCCTGCACTTCAATAATAAAGAAAGCTGTCAGCACTTATAAAACCTGTCCCAAGTAAACCTGTCTCTTAACAACCTGAAGTGGCACATCTTGTTTTTTATGTGAGATGTCTACTCACTTCCATATCAGCAAATGTTCTTTATTCGTGGATTGATCTTGTGGTAGGAGGGTGCTGAAGGAATACCAAACCTTAATAATGTAGTAGAGTGGGTTGAGTATGGCAGGGTTGCCGTCAAACTGTGTGCAACTTTACTTCAACCGCCCCCCCCCCCGACAACCTGATTCATGTTATCTGCCTGTATTCTTTGTAGAGGTTGCAACACTAAAAATAACAGCTCTTCTAGGTGAGTCCACCATCCTGTTCCCAGCAGTGAATGATCAGATGCTTCCAGGGGACGATATGAAATGCATGAAAGAGTTGCTGTCGTATGACTTACCTTTCTCTAACCTTGGTCCTGAGCCTATTATCCGTTTCACCGGGCCTTTTAGTTTTGTGGGCTGAAGTGAAAAATGCCTATCCACAGTGATATTGAAGTTGAGGGTTGGATGTTGTGCTCCTCACAGCACTGCTAGATGCCTCGTTCCGTTCCTGCAGACTCTCGTAGCTACCAGGAAGCTACAAAAAGCCAGTGGTACAGTGGCCTGAGTATTGGCCTTACACTTTGGGAGCCCAGGTTCAATTCTTCACTCAGTCACAAATACATATTTATGTGCTGTAATATATACACATTCAAGAGTAACATTTAAGTTCTTGCTTGCTTTTCACACTTGCCGAAAAATACATTTGGGGCACTGCAGGGAGATCATCCTGGGTAGGTTCCATTCCATGGTAGTATCACCAGGCTATGGCAGACCTTCCTGTGCTTGATACATTCTGTTCCTTTGTTGATGGCTTTCTGGGGTCAAGTTAGGAGAGAGTATTTGTAGTACATTGCATTGGGAACTTCTATTTGTTACATCTGGTTATATTGTGGCTCATATGCTTACTTTTTTAACTTACTATGTTGGTTGTTGAAATGTATTTAGTAAATTTCTGTTATGCTGCAAGCTGTTTTGAAAGCCTTGTGTACCAATGGAAGGGAATAAATGTTTCAGTAAAATAAATCTTCCTGCAGCATACCCTTTATACTCTACAGTTGTTTCCATTTGCAGATATGAGCCTCAGACTGATATTCCTTCAGATGTTGAGACAGAGCAGGACCGGGTTTTTTTCATTAAGGCTGTTGCTCAATTTATGGTAAGTCTGTTTAATTTTAAGGTTCATTATGCATGGATATAGCCTATAACTAATTCTCTGGAAGACAAAACAAAACTGAAAGTGATCTTGATAGCCTGGAGTGCTGGGGTGAAAGCAACAGAATGAAATTCGGTAGGGAGAAATGCCAAGTTCTACACCTAGGAAAAAGGAACCAAATGCATTGTTACAAGATGTGAATACTTGTCTCAACCATATTGCAAGTGAGAAGGATCTTGGAATTTTTGTCGACCTCAAGCTGAATATGAGTCAACAATGTGATATGGCTGCAAAGAAGGCCAGTGCTATAATGGGCTTTCTTAAGTATAGCTTCCATATTGTGTGAGGTACTGGCTGCCCTCTATTCAGCACCCAATCTAGAGTACTGTGTCCTGCACTACACTTAAAGAAAGATGCAGACAAAGGGGGTTCAAAGGAGGACAACAGAGATAATATGGGAACTGGAAACAAAGCCCTATGAGGAGAGATTGAAAGAACTGAGTATGTTTAGCCTTGAAAAGAGAAAACTGAAGGGAGATGTGATAGCATACCACGAGTATTTGAAAGGTTGTCACAAAGAAGGTGGTCAGGATCTCATCTTGCTCATCTCAGAGTGCAGGACATGGAATAATGTGCTCAAGTTACAGGAAACCAGATTCACGAAGAATTTTGTCACTGTTAGAGCAGTGCAACAATGGAACTAATTTGCTAGGGAGTTTGTGGGCTCTTGTACACTAGAGGTGTTCAAGATGCACCTAGACAGCTATCTGAGAGGGTTGGTTTAACTTGATGCCCTACGTTGAGCATGGACCCGATGGCTGTGTGGCTTTTTTCAAGTCTACTACTATGTGGAAAAGTTAAAATGGAAATTAAACAATGTGTTTGCGATGTGGAATTACAAAAAATATGTAAGTAGGGCCAAAAGCTTCCTGCATATAGAGATAATGGGAGGAAATCTTTACCTGCAAAATATCTGTCTGACTTGTCTTTCCCTAAATTTAGGGAAGGTTTTATAAGGCAAGGTTTACTGTAGTACCATATGCTTATTGGATGGTGTGTCTTTGTGGAATGGAAAAGTGGAAGTACTCTAGTTTGTCTTGTTAATTGGACTTTTTATCAGGACTTGCTTCCCTGAGTTTTAATCCCCATTATACAGTGGTTTTCAGGGAGAGCAGCTGAACAACAGTTTTTAACATAATTAGTGTCAGATCGTAACCCAAAGGTCACTGTAAAAGTGACAGGCTTTTGTGCAGTAGCTATAAATGTACTCAAATTGCAATGAGAGGGTATTAATTAATTGTAAAAAAATTAACTAGAGGTAACTCTTTGGTGCATTTACTGATTACCTTATTTCACTATTTTAACTATTTCCTTATTGGACTGAGGTTTATATATTAAGAATTTTGTTGTTATGATTTATTTTATTATTTCTGTGTTTGTTTTTTACTGATCGTGACCAAAGTAGAATAATGCAGTCTTTCAGATTACATTACATCATCGTTGGATGGCACCTTGGAGGTCATCTGGTTCACCCCCCATTTCAGTGCAGGACCTGCAATGCAGAATGTAGATGGCCACCCAGTGCAGGGAGACTCCTTCATTCTTGAACAATTCCTACTCTGAGGATTCTTCTACTAATGTTAAATTCAAATCTGTTTCCTTGCCCTCTGCAGCCATTGGTCCTACCTTTGCAAGCAATGATCAAGCCAAGTTTTATTATATTTAGCCATTGGCCATTACAAAATTTAAGAAAGACATAATGAAAAATTAGGAAAATTTGTTAAGAACAGATGTTAAAATTTTTAAAAAATAACAGTAAAATAAAAACTAGTTTAATTGCTATCAATTAGCTACCCCCTTCAATGTCACCTTTGATCTAATTTTCATAGTTGCCAACACAGAGACACACTGTGGAAAATGCAAACATTGTTCCATGATAATATAAAAATAATCTTCTCAGATTCTGTGTATCAGTGGCAGATAAAATTCCAGCTAAAAAATTATCTCTTGTTGCTCTATAAAGCAGACAGGATATCACACAGTGAGGAAGTGGCACTGCTTTGCAGTGGTTCCACTCCCATCTCAACGGCTGATTCCAGAAGGTGGTGCTGGGGGACTATGGCTCTGTGCCATGGCAGCTATGCCATGGAGTTTCGCAGGGATCCATTTTGTCCCCCTTGCTATTTAACATCTACATGAAACCGCTGGGAGAGGTCATCAGGAGGTGTGAGCTGCGGAATCATCAGTACGCTGATGATACCCAGCTCTACCTCTCTTTTTCAACCAATCCAGGTGAGGCAGTGGCTGTACTGAACCTGTGCCTGGCCAAGGTAATGGGCTGGATGAGGGCCAATAAACTGAAGCTCAGTCCAGACAAGACAGAGGTCCTGTTGGTAGGTGGGTCTGGCTTCGGGGTGGGGGACCTGGACCTTGTCCTGAATGGGGTTGCACTCCCTCTTAGGA